AACACACTTACTTGTTCATCTCCTTCTCCAAAATGACAGAATATCCAACTAAAACTCTAAAACCGGATGGCCAGAAGTGTGTGGTGCGCACTTGTAATCCCAGTACTTGGTGGCAGAGGCAGGCAGATCTCTTTGAGTTCAAGGCCAGCCTGGTCTAAATAGCAAGTTTCAAGGCAGCCAGGGCCACAAAGTGAGACCTTGTCTCAAAAAAAAAAAAAAAATCCAAAATTGAATGATAGCCTCAGCCTGAGTTCAGTCCTTGGAACAACGGTGGAAGGACAGACCCTACTTCAGAAAGTTGTCACCTTACCTCCATATGCACATCATCGCTCACATGCACCCTCACATCATACGCAACATACCCATACACACTAATAATAAATAAAACATTAAATTTTTAAAAATGTATGGTGCTATGTAATATCTTTCAAAGATTTTGTTTTTATTTAAAATTTTTATTGCATTTATTTTGTGTATGTTTATGTGTGTGCGCACAGCTGTGCACACACATCTGGTCATGTGTGAAGGTCAGAGGACAACTTTCAGGACTTGGTACTTATTTCTACCATATGGGTCCCAGAGATTGAACTCAGATTGCCAAGCTTGGTGGCAAGTGCCTTTACCTGCTGAGCCATCTCAATGGCTCATATTTTTCTTAAAACACTTATTTTTATCTTTAACTTAACTCAGGGCTGGAGAGATGACCCAGCAGTTAAAAGCACTGGCTGTTCTTGCAGAAGACCTGGGCTTGATTCCCAGCACCCACATGGTGGCCAATGGCTGTTCCTAACTCCAGTTCCAGTGGAATCTGGCACCCTCTTCTGACCTCCGTGGTGCACTTACACACATGCAGGTGATACACACACATACATAAAATTTAAAAAATAAAATAAAATAATAAAATCTTTTAAAAAATAATAACTGTCTGACCAGCAGTCCCCAAGGGCCCTCTGTCTTATGTTCCCAGGTACATGCTACTGCACCTGGCTTTTTATGTGGGTGCTGGGGATCCAAACTCAGGTCCTCATACCCACTGAGCCATCTCCCCAGCCTCCATAATGGATTCTAACATTTCTTTTTATTTTCAGTGCTGAGAATTGAACCTAGCTCTCGTGTGTGCTATGCAAGCACCCCACCACTGAGCTATATTTCCAGCATTCATACTGTGTTGTGTTTTGTTTTCTTCCCATTTGGGAGATTGAACCCAGCTCCTTGCACATGGCAAGCTAGTGTTCTACCACTGAGCTGTTCCCCAACATCCTCTTTCTTTAATGCTTTTGTTAGTCAAATATGTACCCTGAGGCAGGATGGTCTTCTCAGGCACACACACTTTTTACAGATGTTGATATGCTCTTTAGCTTTTTTCCTTTGCAACTTATCTCAAAGAATAGAAACCTTTTAACTTTATTTATTTTTATTTTATCTGTATGAGTGTTTTGCCTGCATGTATGTAAGTGCACCCGTGTCATGCAATGCCTGTGGAGACCAGAAGAGGGTTTTGGATTCCCTGGAACTGGAGTTAAGGATAGTTGTTAGCCACTATGTGGGTGCTGGGAACCAAACCTGGGTCCTCTGCAAGAGCAGTCAATGCTCTTAACTGCTGAGCCACTATAGAGGAATGGGTTTCTTGTTTGTTTGATTGTTTGAATGGCTTTTGTTTGTCTGTTTTGTTTTGTTTTGACAGGGTCTCCCTAGCTGCAGCCTGCCTGGAACTCACTATGTAGACCAGGCTGGCCTTGAACTCACAGAGATCTGCCTGCCTCTGCCTCCTGAGTGTTGGGATTGATGGTGTGCACCACCTGACTACAGACTTAACTCTTTCAAGTTCCTTTAGAGAAGAATCCTTCAGTCATCTTCTTTGTATCCCCCTTAGGGGTCCCCTACCTTCAGACTAAGGCCAAAGGGTTGCTGAATTTCAAGACGACACTCTCCCAATGAATGAGACTAAAGATATACAAATAGATGTATGTGAGACAGCTGTAATGGGAGATCCAGTAGAAAGTTACATATACATACTCCCCCCCTCCTTTTTTTTTTTGGTCTTTTTGAGACAGGGTCTCCCTGTAGCCCCAGCTGTCCTGGAACTCACTATGTAGACCAGGCTGGCCTTGAACTCACAGAAATCTGTCTGCCTCTGCCTCCCAAGTGCTGGGATTAAAGGCATGTGCCACCACGCCCAGCACATATACATATATTTTTAATTATTTATTTTTATGTGTATGGGTGTTTTACCTGCATGTATGTAAGCGCACCTGTGTCATGCAATGTCTGCAGAGGTAGGAAGAGGGCATCAGATCCCCTGTAACTGGGGTTAGAGAGGGTTGTTAGCTACTATGTGGGTGCTGGGAACTGAAGCCCAGTCCTCTGCAAAAGCAGCCAGTGCTCTTGACCGATAAGCCATCTCTCTAGCCCCATATATACAAACATATTTTATTTTTTATTATTAGGGAAATTATTATTATGTTCCCCGGCTGACCTAGACCCTGCTGTGTAGTCAAGGATAACCTGAAACTTCTGATCCCCCTGCCTGTCTTCACCTCTCAAGTGCTGAGATTGCAGGAGTGCCCCACACCAGATTTAGAAACATAATTCTCTGACTGTGTGCAGGAAGTACAGTCTGCTTCCTGATGGTCATTGGCCTTTATGCTTTTCCTGAAGATTGTTTGCCGAGGTCTACTGATGAAAGTGGTATAAAGAGATTCTTGGAAATCTTTAGGTCAACATGCAGCCTTCCCTCCCAAGTCAAAAATTAATTAAATTGAGCCTAGTGGTGAATGTCTGTAATCTCAGCACTCAGGGGACTGAGGTGGGAGGACTGCCACAAGTTTAAGGCCAACCTGGGCTCCATAGTGAGTTCCAGGCCAGCCTGGGTTATGGAGTGAGATCCTGTCTCAATGTAATAATAATAACAACAACAACAGTAGTAATAATTAAGTACCTACTAGAAGTGTGGCACTCCTTGAAGTAGTTAGATGGAACCATTATGTCAGTGGGTAACAAGCAAGAACAGGAGACCTGCTTAGCTTCCCACAAGCACTTTTTAGTAGTTTAATAACCTTGACCAATACTTGTTTATGTCCTATTTCCCTTATTTGTAAGTCTGGGTGACAAAATATTTCTCTCTCTCTCTCTTTCCCTCCCTCCCTCCCTCCCTCGTTGACAAGTGAGTGTTTGTGGCAGAATCTTTGATATAAAGCTAAGGAATGTGGAGTAACTTCCAAAAACTCATCTTTTGATTTCAACAAAAGTTCTATTTCACAGTACAAACTAAAATTTTATTTTAAAATTTTTTTTTTTTTTTGGTCTTTTTGAGACAGGTCTCTCTGTAGCCCCAGCTGGCCTGGAACTCACTATATAGACCAGGCTGGCCTTGAACTCACAGAGATCCGCCTGCCTCTGCCTCCCGAGTGCTGGGACTAAAGGTGCGCACCACCATGCCTGGCCAAGAAGAATTTTTTATATTTACTGGTAACAGGTGCCATATTTGAAGAAATATCCCAGTCAACTGCCATTTGTGTGGCCATCAGGAGCAACGAAAGTGCCAGGTCTGCCAATTCGACTTTAGAGTTATATGGGTTATAAAAATCAGGATAAACCCATGATTTCTATGAATATGTTTCTCATATGTCATTTATTACTTGATGTTTATCCAAAGCCAGTACCACGTCTGACATTTTGATATATGAAATTTAAGCCAAAAAGAAACCATTTAGTCTCAACTACTCACAAAAAGATATGTTATCACTTGCTCACTCTGGATGATAGGCAACGCGTAGTAAGTCTTTGGCTGTTCTTTGAGACAGGGCTTCGTGTAGCCCAGGCTGGCCTCCAACTTGCTATGTAGCCAAGGATAACCTTCAACTCCCCATCCCCCTACCTCCCCCTCCCAAGTGCTGGGATTACGGGTGTTTAGCCCCATGCCTAGCACAGGTGTTTATTATATCCTTCTGAATGCTTTTATTTGTTTATATGATGTTCAATGACAGTTTAAAAATAGAATGATTTCAGCTATTACAAGGTAGAGATAGAAGGACCAGGAGTTCAAGATCATTCATGGCTACATAACAAATTCCAGGTCAGCCTGAGCTATGCGATTCTCAGAAACCAAAACCAAAGTGCTGGAGATGTATGTAGCTTAGTTGATAGAGTGCTTGCCTAGCATGCACGAAGCCTTTATTACATCTAGTACTGCATAAACCAGGCACGGTAGTAAATGCTTGTAATCCCAGCACCCAGAAGGTGGAGAGAGGAGGACCAGGGGAGTAAGGCTCCTCATTTTCCGGTTGGCATCTTGGGGCTGCAGAGCTTCTTTTACCTAGTAAGCGGATCACTTATCTGCCTGAGCTCTTTAATAATTGAACGCCAATCAGTTTTCTCCAGGGATTAGCTTCCTTAGAGATGATCTAATCCCAAATGGGCAACCCTAAACATTGGTTCCTGAAAGCACTAAACGACATGGGTGCAATTTACACACATGCAGGCATAACACTCATACACGTAAAATAAAAATGGATAAAAAAAATTTAACAGGTCTTCTGGTCTCCACGAGCATTGCACACACAGGTGAACTTGCATGCAGGCAATACACTCATACACATAAAACAAAAGTAAATAATAATAGAGAACAAAAAATTGTGAGGGAGTGGGATAGTCATGGAAGGAGTTGGAGGGGGCTGGGAGGGATGGAAAGAATGCAAATAAAATGCCCAAGTATGACATTTTTAAGAATAAAGTTTTTAGAAACCGGGCGTGGTGGCGCACGCTTTTAATCCCAGCACGCCTCAGGCAGAGGCAGGCGGATCTTTGTGAGTTCGAGGCCGGCCTGATCTACATAGTGAGTTCCAGGACAGCTGGGATACAGAGAGACCCTGTCTCAAAAAGACAAAAAAAAAAAAAAGAAAAAGTTTTTAGAAGTAACTGAAAGAGGCGCAGGGGGCTACAGCAGGACTCTGTTCCCCGGAGCGCGCCCGGGGCGTGGCCTCCAGAGCGGCGGGGGCGGGGCTCCGGCGGCCTTCCCGGCGTGCCCCGCGCGCAGGGACTCTTATCTGGAAGCTCGGGGTGACTCAGCCGCGGGACCGGGTCGGTGGGGGCGCCGCTGCGATAGCACAGCGGGTCCCAGCGGCGTCTGGTTGCGCGCCTTCCCGGCGACTTCCGGGCCCGAGCACAACGGCGAGCGACGGGTGAGTGGTGGGCCGAACCATCCGGTCGGGCGGCCGCGTCAGCCCGAGAGCCGGAGTTCGTCTCGGTCGGTGGGCGCGGCGGGCGCGGGGTGATGACGGGCGTCGGGAGCGACGGGGCCGCGGAGGATCCGGCGGCCTCCTGCGGGCCTCTGCTGTGCTCGTCATGCCAGCCTAACAGGAAGCGCGAGAACCCCGGGGTGTGTGCACCGAGACCCTGGGCTGAGACTTGAAAAACTACCTGGATCCAAGCAGAGAACCTAGTTGTACGCGCGCCATCGGAACTGTCCGGTCGTCGTGTGCCCCCCGCCCCCTTGGTGTTCTTACTGCAAGCACAGATGGCTAGCTGTCGTCCGAGACTGGCGGGAGAAGCCTTGGCGAATCATTTCCTTTGAAATAAAAACTTCTGATTAACTAGACAGTGTCTTCAGGTTTGCCCTCCGATTTAGGAATTCGCCATTTTTAGTGAACATTCCTAGGCTGGACCGATTTATTATCTTTTAAATACATTTATAATTATCTTTTTTTTTCTTCCTTTTTTGGACGCAGGATCTCAATATGTAAGCCCCACCTGGCCTGGAACTCTCTGTTTGTTGTGTTGGCTTTTTGAGACAGGGTACCTACCCTGAGGTCACAGCTGGCCTGGAACTCGCATTGTAGACCAGGCTGGCCTCATTCTCACAGAGATCCACCTGCCTCTGCCTCCCAAGTACTGGGATAAAAGGCGTTCACCACCATGCCGGGCTTTAGTTAGTTAGTTTTGAGACAGGGTCTTCCTGTAGCCCTAGCTGGCCTGGAGCTCGCTGTTTTTTTGTTGTATTGGTTTTTTGAGACAGGGTCACCCTGTAGTCACAGCTGGCCTGGAACTTGCTATGTAGACCAGGCTGGCCTCATTCTCACAGAGATCCACCTGCCTCTGCCTCCCAAGTATTGGGATTAAAAGCGTTCGCCACCATGCCGGGTGTTATTTAGTTTTGAGACAGGGTCTCCCTGTAACCCTAGCTGGCCTGGAACTCACTATGACACTCAAAAGCATCCTCCTGCCTCTGCCTTGGTAGTGCTGGGGCCACGCTCGGCCCATTATTATCTTTTAAATAAGAATCCTGTGAACAAACTGTCAAGATAATCTTGAAGGAACTGTTTGACCAACTTAGGGAAATACATTCTTTGTTGTTGTTTTGGTTTTTTGAAACAGGGTCTCCCTGTAGCCCCAGCCTTCCTGGCCTGGATCACAGAGAGGTCTGACTGCCTCTGCCTCCCAAGTGCTGGGATTTACCTCAAAATACCTTTTATTTTTTTGTCTTTTTGAGACAGGGTCTCCCTGTAGCTCGAGCTGTCCTGGAACTCACTATGTAGACCAGGCTGGCCTTGAACTCACAGAGATCCACCTGCCCCTTCCTCCCAAGTTCTGGGACTACCGGTGTGTGCCACCACAGGGATTACATTCTTAAATCCTTTGATTATGTTTCTGTTTGCTGGTAAGCTATTATCTGTGACTGTTACTTATTACCTGGAAAATTGAGATTTTTTTTTTTTAAATGGTCTCCCAAAGTGATGGAATAATATTAGTTGATATGATGAATCTTGAATTAGAACTTCACTCCCCGGAAAAAAAAAATCTCGAGCCATTCTCGAACATAAGTTTGCTCCTTAAGAAGATTTTAGTATGCATACCACTCACAGAAGTTTGATTCTAGAAATCTCTGCTGGGTCCCTGAGGCTGCCCTGTAAGCAGACACTCCCTCACACTCCTAGGCCAGGAACCAGACCTCTAGAAACCACCATTAGCCCGAGCTGAGAATTGTAAAAACTGCCCAACGCCCTTATCTCTTTGTTGACACACTCCTCTTTGCCCACAACCAGTCACCGGCCAAGAAGCTCTGCGGAAGGCAGTGTGAAAAAGGATAGTGCTTTCTGGAACCATGACAGCGGGAGTAGGAACTGACTTTCATATGCATCCTGTTATTGCCTTAGTGGTAGAAAGATTGATTGTGCTCAGGGTTCATTGCTCTCATGGCAGAAGTATCAGAGGGGTTTTCTGTTTCCTGCCCCTGCTGAATAGACCACAGAGTTGGGCTTAAAGTTAGCTTTGGTTTTCTGGCCTTTTTCTTGGCTTCCATGTCTTTTTGTCTGATTTGACTTATTAACTGATCTTTTTCTATTGATTCATAAAATATTACGCCTTTCCTCCTATGGCCCTGATCTTTGTCTCTGACCTGCCCGAAATCTTGCCTTCCCCAAGCCTCCGTGGCTAATTGGAGTAAAAAATTTAAGGGGATTGGTGGAATATTAAATGATTTTAAGTTGGGAGACTCAGTCATGGAAATATGAAGTCTAAAGGTATAAGGGAGCCTATTACACATTTTTCTAGTGCAATCCTCTCATCTCAGATAGACTAGGGAGGTAGAATGCCTGCTTGGCATGTATGTGAACTAGGTTTGGTCCTCAGCATACCTCCTCCCAAAAAAAAAACCACATAAGAGAGTCTGAGAGACGATATGGCAGGACTGGCTCCTAGCCTGCTGTTCTATTCTTCCCACCAAATTACCCGAAAAGGTGCTTCAAAAGAAAATGGAGAGGCTTCCATATGACTACAGAACCAGTATATATCTGGAACATTGAAGGACCATATCATCTAACCATAGGTCATGAAGAGTGGGAGTCCTAAAATGGGTCCCTGGGGCTTGAAGTGAGTAGTGAAAGGTAAGTGGGTAAGCACACAGCTGACTTCTGAAACTCAAGAGGTTATATGCTCAGAAGTTATTAAAGGTTTCACTTAAAAGATGTAATAAATACTGGTTTTGCAAGTTATATGTATGAGTAGTGTCCAGAATCTGAAGGTGTGCGCCAACATGCCGGCCTCGCCTCGTTCGATGTTTCTTTTTGGTCTTTTTGAGACAGTCTCCCTGTAGCCACAGCTGGCCTGGAACTCATTATGTAGACCAGGCTGGCCTTGAACTCAAGGGCTCCATCTGCTTCTGCCTCCTGAGTGCTGGGATTAAAAGTGTGCACCGCCATGCCTGGCTTCAATGTATTTCTTAATGTCTTATGGGAAATGATATTCTTGGAATAGTGTATAGCTCTCTGGAACAGTAGGAAGGAAAGGAGTTGAATGCAAGAAGAGGACTTTTTCAAATTTTTGCTTGGAGTCTCCAAATTAGCCATTGTTGGGTTGTTCTTACATATTCATGAAAGTAAAGAAGTCAGGATATAATAGGTTTGGTATCAGACATTGTACTAAGTGGTTTTACATCATTATTATAATTTAATTATTTCTATTTTATAAATGAGAAATCTAGGACACAAAGAAGTTAAGTTTGTCCAAAGAGTATGTGTCACACTCAGGTTGAGCCTGGTTCAATTTTAAGTCCACCTGACTTCCAAAGCCTTCAAGTTCATTCTTGATTGTATCCAAGTTATATTGTGCTTTATGATGTGGTTAAAATGGGGGTTCTGGAGTCAGAACCTAGGTCCGTTTACTAAAGTAATTCATCAGTTTCTAGGATTAAGTTACTCAATTTCTAGGATTGAGTTACTTCATGTAAAGTACTTAGAATTATTCCTGACAGTGAGTTCTCAGGAAATGCTGGCTGTTACTGTTTGTTGTTTTGGTTTTTAAGACAGGATCTCCCTGTAGCCCTGGCTAGCCTGGAACTCACTAGGTAGACCAGGCTGGCCTCCATCTCACAGAGCTCCACCTATCTCTGCCTCCCAATTGCTGGGTTTAAAGGAGTGTGCTACCACCCCCTGGCCTGTTACTGCTTTTTAAAATATTATAATTTAGGGGCTGGAGAGATCGTTCAGCAGTTAAGAACACTGGCTGTTCTTGCAGAAGACCTGGGTTCAAATCCCAGCATCTACATGGCAGCTAACTGTCTGTAACTCCAGTTCCAGGGGATCTGACAGCCTCTTCCTGTCTTCCATGGGCATTGCACGACACAGGTGCACTTACCTACGTGCAGGCAATACACACATATACATAAAATAATAATAAAATATTATAATTTAAACTGGTTATGGTGGCACACCTGTAATCTCAGTACTCAGGAGGTAGATTTACAAGTTCAAGGACAGCTTGTACTATATAGAGAATGCTAGGTCAGTCTGAGCTGTATCATGAGGACCCATTTCAACAATGAGTAATAACAGTTTATCTCAAGATACTGTTTTATTTAGATTCAGTCTAACCTCCTGTTTGAAAACTAGAGTTTCTGATGGGTAGATATAAAATATACCATCTCTTACTAAACAGGCCCTACTGATGTCTTTGGAAAGCATTGAGATCTAGTGGGAAGATAAGTGACCCAGACCACAAGGTTTGCCTCCAATGTCTCAGTCACTGAGCAGCTCAAAACTTCTGTTTCATAGAGAGATGTGCACTAGAGTGACCTAGTGGGAGGTGCACTGACAAGTAGGGCGAAGTCTGAATTTTGTGTGCTCTACACTATCCAGATGTAAAATCCTGTTACTAACCTGGTGGAGGAAAGGTACAGTGGGTTATTAGATGAAGTCTTGAGCGTTCAGCTGCCACAGATTAAAGCACCTAGCTGAGGTGGTTTGCTAGTAAAGACAGTGTGTGCCGTAAGACTCGCACACCTTCCACGTGTTTGTCCCCGTCAGTCAGTGTCAGTCGTGTTTGCTTTGGTGAAGGGAGGTGAAATTAATTTTTTCTCTTTTTGAGAAAGAGTTTCATGTAACCCAGACTGGCCTTGAACTCCTGATCCTCCTGCTTCCACCTTCCAAGTGCTGGGATTACAGATGTGCACTGCCACACCTGGCCTCTGTTTCAACTTTTGAAGTTTTCTCTTAAACTGTTATAAGCCTTTGTTTTGTTTTTTTAAGACAGAGTTTTATGTAGCTCAGGCTGGCTTTAAAGAAAAGGAGGCATGGATAGAAGAATTTGCTAGTCATGCCATTTGCTATTGGAATTTTCTTCCTTTTCTTTCTGTTTTTTGTTTGTTTTTTTTTGTCTTTTTGAGACAGGGTCTTCCTGTAGCCCCTATGGCTGGCCTGGAACTCGCTGTGTAGACCAGGCTGCTGGCCCGGAACTCACAGAGATCCGACTACCTCTGTCTTCCTAGTGCTGGGATTAAAGACGCACACCACTACCCATGACTGGTATTGGAATTTTCTTAAAGAATTAAGAATTTTTTTTAACTTTTTAATTTTTTTATTTTAATTTTATGTGTATGCGTGCATTGCCTGCATGTAGGTAAGTGCACCCATGTCATGCAATGCCCGCAGAGGACAGAAGAGGCTGTCAGATCCCCTGGGACTGGAGTTACGGACAGTTGTTAGCTGCCATGTGGGTGCTGGGATTTTGAACCTGGGTCTTCTGCAAGAACAACCAGTGTTCTTAACTGCTGAGCCATCTCTCCAGCGCCAGAATTTAAGTTTTTAAAAATTATGTGTGTGCATGTGTTCATCAGAGAATATTGGATCATTGGATCACCTAGAGCTGGAGTACAGGTAGTTAGGGGAGTACAGGTAGTTGTGAGCTGCCCAGCATGGGTGCTAGGAACTGAGCTCTGGTCCTTGCAGAAGCAGTCAGCACTCTGTTGAGCTGTGTTCATTCCTGGTGTTGGAATTGTCTTTGTGAAACAGTTTTAGCTTTGGATAAATTTCTTTACTAGGACTTTAAAAAGATTTATTATTAAAACTTATTTTATGTGTATTGAGTGTTTTGCCCACATGTATGTAAGTGTACTCATGTTATGCCTGCAGAGGTCAGAAGAGGGCATTGGATCCCTTGGAACTGGAGTTGTGAACAGTTATTAGCTGCTTTGTGGCTGCCGGGTACTAAACCCAGGTCCTCTGCAAGAACAACCAGTGCTCTTACCACTGAGCCATCTCTTCTGTTGTTGTTATTATGTAAACTAGCACATCAGTGTAGGCTGGGGATGTCCCAAGCTCTTCTACTGATCTTTCCTTTCTTCGGTCTTCCGACGGCAGACTTGGCCATGACAGCAGAGCTGTGGTAGGTCGAGCTCCACCAGCCGCTGTTTTCGTGAAGGAAGCACAGTGCCGATTCCAACAGCCCGTCTTTCATCTTTGTCTTGCACAGAAGGAGCAAGTGTACGTGGCGTGCTGATTCTGTTTCCCGGCACCATTTTCCAGAGGGAGGCTCCGTAGAGCAAGTCATACAATCTCGACCTTCTTGGCGCATTTAGCCGTGTCACCCTGACCTAGGCCTGAGCCTGGAAAGGAAGACTTTTTTGGTTTTGGTTTTCTTTTTGAGGCTGGAGCTACAAGGAGACCCTGTCTCAAACCAAAACCAAACACAGCAACAAAAAGCTAACTTAACTTCTGGTTTCCTTATTATTTTTAATGAAGTTGTTTATTTCACTTATTTTTTTTTTTTATTTATTGTGTGTGTGCACACACTTTTGGAAGTTGCTTCTCTTACCACACGGGTCTCGGGAATGGAGCTCAGATTGTCAAGTGTGAGCGACAACTACTTTTACCTGCTGAGCCATTTTGTTGGTGCCACTACTGATTTTTTTTTTTGGTCTTTTTGAGACAGGGTCTCCCTGTAACCCCAGCTGACCTGGAACTCACCCTGTAGACCAGGCTGGCCTTAAACTCACAGAGATCCACCTGCCTCTGTCTCTCAAATGCTTGGGACTAAAGGTGTGCACCACTATGCCTGGCCCTACTATTAATTTTTATCAGTTGAACTTTTTTGTTGTTTGCCATGTTTGGGGTTGAACCAGAGCCTTGCACATGTTAAGCAAGCTCTCTACCCCCAGCTCTTGTGTTTTGTTTTTGGGTTTTTTTTGTCTTTTTGAGATAGAATCTCACTGTGTTCCAAGCTGTCCTTGAACTCACCCTGAACCCCAGGCTCGCCTAGAACTTCGTATATTACTTACTTTTCTGTTGCTGTGATAAAACACCTGGCTAAGACAATTTATAGAAGGAAGTTTATTGTAGCTTACAGTTCCAGAGGGATGAGTCCATAACGGTGCGGAGAGATGGCTGGCGAAGCTGAGAACACACATCTTCAAGCATGCGCAGGCTCCCCAGTGATTTGTTTCCTCTAGCAAGGCTACACCCCTAAAGATACCAAGACTTTTTCCAAACAGTGCCACCAACTGACCAAGTGTTCAACTACTTGAGCCTGTAGGGGACACTTGTCATTCAAACCACCACACTTGGGGTTCTCATTGCCTCAACCTCCCAAGTGCTGGGATTACTGGTGGGGGCTGGCACCCCTGGTTTCTCTTCTTTTTCATATATTTCTCCTCTTATTTGTTTTCTTAGTCCTTACAGTCCTTGAGGTTAAGATCTTGTTGAGAAGGAGATTGTGTTATTTGTTTTTGGCTCTTTTCTAACACATGCATTAAAGCTGTAGATTTCCCTGGGGCTTGGAGAGATGGCTCAGTGGTTAAAAGCTCTTGTAGAGGACCCCAGTTAGGTTCCCAGCACCCACATTGGAGCTCACAACTGCCTGTAACTCCAACTCCAGGGACTCTGATACCATCCCCTGGCCTCCTAGAGCACCTGCACTCAAGTACACATACCGTCCCCACCACAGACACACATGCACATAATTAAAATTATAAATCTTTTTTTCCCTCTGTGCAGGGCTTTAGCCTGACTCGGGTTCTTAAATGTTGTGTTTTGACATTAGTTCCTTTATCTTGTAAATGTTTTTTGACCCAGGTTATTCAGAAGTATGTTCCTTAATTTTCCTGTGTTTGAGGATATTCTTGTTTTGTTATTTTATTGATTTCAACCAATTACACTGTATTTAGAGAAATAACCATATAGTTTTGTGGGGTTTTTTTGAGAAAATTAATTTATCCAAAATGGAATGGTATCCCATCGACAGTATCAATAAAACTGCTATACCTCTAGCCAAGCTAACTTAGAAAACAAAAAGTAAAAATCACAAATGAGTTAATGTAAGTGATGAAAGACAGTAGTATCATTACTGATCCCTTAGACAGTAAAAGGATAATAAAGATAATGAACAACTATATCCCACACATCAATAGCTTAGAGGATGAATTTGCTGAAAGATACAAACTACCACTATTTGTTCAAAGACAAATAATGAAACAGTTTCAGTTTTAAATGTATGAGGCTGTATTGCCATATTATGTTCAATTCTAGCTGTGTATCCAAGTATACGTAATAAAAGTGATACTTTAAGTTGTTGGGTTCAGTTAGGTCGAATTTGTGACTCGTGTTTTTCAGATCTTCTATGTCAGGAATAGACAAACAGCTGCTTACTTTTTATCGTTTATTAGAACACAGTCATATTTAATCATTCAAGAATTGTCTTTGACTGCTTTTCAGTGTAATAGTGTGGCCCACAAAACCTAGAATATGGGCTGTCCAGCCCTTCTCAGAAAAGCTTCCTTCAGACTCCCGGCTGAGAACTGGAGCAGTTTTTAGGGTCCTTCCTGCCCACGGCTGTGTCCCCAGCACCTGGAAGCCAGCAGATCTGCTTGACTGCTCCACTTCCCTGCTATATCCGCTAGGCTTATAGCCCTGGGCATTGTTTCCAAATTGAGTTATCTCTGGAAGAGGAAAGTGGTAGGAATATCATACTTGCTTTAGTTTTCCTTATCAGCCCAGGTTCACTAGAGGACTACAACCTTTGTGTGTGTGTCTGCCTGTCTGCATTCACACTTGGACGTGGACAAGGCTGAAATCTGTAGGGCAGATTGCCATCTGGTGGGGGCAGACAGGAACTCAGGCAGGAGCAGAAAAGCCCCATTCACCGGTGGAGCCTCTTGGCTTGCATCAGACACACTCCCATCGTCCAGGATAATCCTCTCCCTTAAAGTGATTATAGACCTTAACTGAATTACCAAATACCTTCACCATAACACCTAGATTAGTGTTTGAGGAACCCAACCAAGTTGACACAGGAAACATCGCCCCTTTCTCTTCAGGGGTTGACTCTTAGTTTTCCCTAGATTTATGTTGTGCATGAATGTATGCCACATGCATGTGCATGCCTGAGGAGGCCAGAAGGAGGCATGGGATCCCCTGGAGCTAGAGTTACAGGTGGTCATGGGCCTCCCAACTTAGGTGCTGGGAACGAAACTTTGGTCCTCTGGAAGAGCAGCAAGTGCTCTTAACTGTTGAGCCATCCCTCCAGCCCCTTATTCTTTATATTTAATTATATGTCTGTGGGAATGTGCCCCCTCAGAGACCAGAAGAGGATTTCAGATCCCCTGGAGCAGGAGTCACAGGTGGTTAATGAGTTGCCCAGTGTGGGTGCTGGGACTTGAACTTGGGTCTTCTGCAAGAGCAGTATACCTTTAACAGCTGAGCTGTCTTTACAGCTGTCAGTTTTGTTTTGTTTTGTTTTGTTTAAGATAGGATCTCATGTACCACAGGCTTACCTCAAGCCTACTATGTGGTTGAGGTTAACCTTGAACTTCTGAACTTCCAGCTTCCATTTCCCAAGTGTTGATTAGAAGCACACATTACCATGCCCGGTTCATGCAGTGCTGGAGACAGAACTCAGGACTTTATGCATGTAGCCAAGTACTCTACCAATGTAGCTATGTGTTTGTGATTTTCAGTTGATTTTTGAGAACTGTTCTGGTGAAGGGCCTTATTTATTAGGATCTGGAAGCTAGTTACAGATTTGAATTTTCTTCTATCATTCTGAAATGGTACAGGAATTAGAGTTTATGTGAGTTTGGGAAGTGTTGGATTACATGATGCCTTAAAAGATTGCCATTAGCCGGGCGTGGTGGCGCATGCCTGTAGTCCCAGCACTTGGGAGGCAGAGGCA